AAATTTGGAGATGCTCTTTGGCTCAACAGCATCTTGAAAGTTGGATGGTTTTCTGAAATTCTGCCAGTTCTGCCTGTTTTTCCCCACTCTCTCCAGATGGTGCTGGAGGACTTCCTGGGAACAATCTTTTATCAATGCATTTTATTTTATCAATGCACATCACAATGGCTACGTGTAGTTCCAGATGGAGCCATGTGTCACAAGTGTAACAGTAAGAAGGAATGCAGTCATTAAAGAGACAAAAACTACACTTATCACAGTTCAAGAACTTTTTCAGACTTGTGTAAAAGGCTTTGTTGTAATTTCTGTTTTTCCTCAGCCCAGTTGACCCCCCACACTCTCACTCAGGTGCTCTGCAGAGCAAAGGAGGTGAGGGAGGAGTGAGGTGGTGTATCACATCTTTCATGATGGTTTTCTCTTCCTCTGCAGAGCCATTCAGTGCTGACGTATGGGTGATGATGTTTGTGATGCTGCTTATCATCTCTGCGGTGGCCGTCTTTGTCTTTGAGTACTTCAGCCCTGTGGGCTATAATCGGTGCCTTGCTGATGGCAGAGGTAAGGGTTGTCCCTCCTTGCCATGATCCTCTCTTGCTTCCAATCCTGGCTCCTTTGTCGAGGTGTTTCCTTCACCATGAACACAACACGGATCTAGCCTGCTCTGAGCTCTGCGTTCAGACTAAAGAGGGCAGGGATGGAGGCAGAAAAAAGGCTCTGAAGAGAGCAGATGTGTATAATGGATAATTTGCTTGGCTCAGGAAACGGAGCTGTGTCGCCTTTCATCTCTAAAGCACGCATCAGCTCCAACTCATTTTGCATTGAGGCAAAAATGGTTCCTGGTAGCTGCTGCTGGCAGCGCCTACAGTGCTGTGCTCTCTGAGACAATCAGAGGGCTCGGTGCTGTCAATCCACCCTTCAGTGCTATGTCTCCCTGGAGAACAAGCCACTCTTCTGGCCTCCCAGCATAGTGCTATGTCCTCCAGACTCCACATCTGTCACCTGGGCATGTCCCTCCCCTACTTGGCTCTCTGGCTTGCTGAGGCTGACTGAGAAAGTGGGAAGCTCATTTTCCTGGGAGTGAGTGATGGATTATTTTGCAAGGGCAGCAGGAAAGATGGGAACAAATGACTGACCTGTCTCTGTGGTTCTCATCTTCAGAGGACAGCTCAATGAGTTAAAGAGAAGATGGACAGACAATCTAAGTGACAGACTTTTTTTGCCTCATTGGCGTGAAGACAATTAGCAAGCTGAGCCCTCTGCCATCCCCATAACATCACCCTCTGATGAATTAGCCCTTCAAACCCCCCAGAGGGTTTGTTGGTCCATTCAGAATAGTGGGGGAGAGATAGCTATTGGAAAATGCACTCATTTACTCCCCAACCTAGTGTTTTAAGGGAATTTATGCCATCCATGTTAAAGAGAAGTAGGAAAATGAGAATACAGGCAGAACCATGTACATAGGGAAGCAGAGAACTTCTCTCTTAACTTGGAACTGGGGAGGGCCTTTACAGCAACTGATCATAAACACATGGATCTGTAGACATAAGTAAACATTGTTAAATCTGATTACCTTGAAAGATGGTAATACAGATGTGGAACTGGAAGCAATTCTTAGTAGAGGTGTGCAATTATTAAGTTATCTGAACTGCAGCTGCAACTATCAATATTTCTGAGTAAGTATGACCAGTATGGCAAATATTATCTCTGATGCATATAACGTGAAGATGTAGAAATCTGCTGCAGAGATTGCAATGCTTGTTTGGTAATGAACACTGACTAATGTTACTTTGGCTATATTTGAACTAGTCTATGACAGTATAACCCTGCATTCCCCACCTGCATTTTCTCTATATGGACACCAAGATTTCCTCTCCAGGGTCAGGTGGGCATACCCTGATATAGCCCCTAAATAATGCTGGGTTGTTATTGGGGCACTCAAAGTCAGAGAGGTCAGAAAAATTCCATGTCACTGGTTTGGATTGGAGGCTCCCATTGCAGTTTTGGTTTGTGGCTGACAGAGTAACTGTGAAAGCACATGAGGCAGTCAGTGGAGATGCGAAGGCTTTAGGAGGGAACTTCTCAAGATTTCCTTACACCTTACAGTTTCCACTGATGATCTGCAGGCCTTGCACCTGTGTGTCTTAGTACATTAGGTAAAGAGGGATATAAAGCTACTACTACAACAAGTAAAAAGACAAGGACTGCCAAACTCTGTTTCTTGTAGCAACATTTTCTTCCTGGCATCCTGAGGCTCCAGTTTTGCCAGGTGATGATTCCAATTTGAAGTTGCTGTGCAGCTTCCAAGGTGCAAAATGAGTCCCTTGTACCTCTCAGTTGTATTTAGAGGAACACAATTAGTGCTTTCAGATGGCCTATGCTACTGGCTGCTCAGGGGGTTGAAGTGGGGTGTCAAATCTTTCTTCCTTTTTGGTCCTTTGCTGAAGCCAACCCTAACCACAGGCACCAGTCAGCCTACCCAACAGAGGGGACAGAACATGGGATGCTAACCCAAAAGATTGCAGCACCAGACTGGCACTGCTGGAGAAGTGTCAGACCCTTGAACTGTGCCAGAGGGCTCTCACCCTGAGGGTCTTCTCAGTGTCTGAAACAGGATCATTGGAGTAATTGTGTCTGCAGTCTCCCTGACAGAACCCCTTGTGCTCAAGTCAAGCAAATTTTGGTTTGAGTTCCCACTAATGGAACCAGCATATGCTAGGGATATGGAAATGCTCGGAGGCAGGCGGGATTTCACCTGTTTTCAGTCCTAGTGCTTCATGAGCACACATAGCTTTTGGTGTAAGAGCAAGCTTCCACGCTGAAAAGTGAATAAGAGGAACATAGCAGCATTTAAAATGCTGGATCTGCCCCTGGACTGTCTGGGGCAGGACTGCTGATTTTTCTGAGATAGACCAAAGTATATGTTATTGCTATGTGCCTTAGACACAGAACGTAGGGAGAAGGAGATCTGTTCTTCTCTGTTTTGTGTATCTTCAGCAGGCTGGGTAATGAAACTTTCTTGCAGAGATGTTTGTAGAGCTCTGTTATTTCAGATGGTGCTCTTCCTTGCACCTGTACAACTGCAGCGAAGACCATATTTTGCCCAGGTATATGCTGGAAGTTCAAGGACAACATCACTGTTGAATAGCTACAAATGAGGGTAGAATTTTTCTGAGTAAACTCTATTTCTGGTGACAACACTTGAACCAAAATGGAATGTTTGGGCTTTTAGATACTTCAATCAGAGACAAAAAGAGCCCTTGTACAAGGTTTCAGCGGAAATCTTTGAGACAGAATAAATAAGGAAGCCTGAAGATATTTCAAAAAAATAATTTTTCAGGATCGCACTTTGCTGAGATGTGGTTTCATGAACACAGGGAAGCGCAGCTGCAGACATTCATCTCACATGTGGGAGTAGATACTGTTCTTAACTCTCAAGTCAAGATGTGAATGTGAATAGAAATGCAGACCACTTTGAGATGCTCACTGTGGGATCATGTTTCTCAATCACTCTAGAGCCAGGAGGTCCCTCTTTCACCATTGGCAAAGCTATCTGGTTGCTGTGGGGGCTGGTCTTCAACAACTCTGTGCCAGTGCAGAATCCCAAGGGTACCACTAGCAAGATCATGGTGTCGGTGTGGGCTTTCTTCGCTGTCATCTTTCTGGCCAGCTACACTGCCAACCTGGCTGCCTTCATGATCCAAGAGGAATACGTGGACCAGGTGTCTGGCTTGAGCGACAAAAAGGTAATGGATCTACCCGAACCCCAAAAGCAGCCTTTTCCACAGAAGAGGCTGTTTCATATTCTCTACTTTGCTTTTACTGGGAAAGTGTTTAGATTTTTTTCAGAGTCACATCATAGCCTTAGTCCCTACTTTAAAAAGCATAATTACACTTCATTGGTATCCAGTTGCATTTTCACATGTTTAAAGTGTTTCAGGAATGTATTAAAAACAGAACTCATCTGTGCTTGCTTGCATGATCCTAAAGCACACCTTGATTGTCAGCAGAAAGTGAATTAATGGAGCTTTTGGGGAGGGTGTGTGTAATGGCTTTAACCTGTTTTTTTCAGGATAAAATACTATCTCTTTGCAGGAATGATGGCCATTAGACTGCTGGCCATTAGACTGTTAGTTTCTTCTGGGGACAAGTTCTGCCCATGGGGGTAAATCAGCATGTCTTTGATGATTTAGTGTTGCCTGTATTTGAGGTTATGCTGTAATTTTTTCGAGGTCTTTGGAAGCTTAGCACAAGAAATTGTTTCCTGTTCAGAGTGTGTTTCTCTGCCTTGTTTACATGCACTGCATTTTGTCCTTGCAGAGTATTTGCTTTTGCTGGGCTCTGCACAGAGGATTTTGAGGAGGTTGTTCGTGCACACAGGGTAGCACTGTCTGCTTCAGGACGGTCTGAAGCTTTGCACACTGCTGTATTTTTGTTTTCCAGCAAGGTTACTCACAAGGAATTGTGTATTGTGAGGCTTAACTGCCTGTGCTGAATTTGTTACTCAATCACTGGGGCTTCTTAGGAGTCATGCCATTGTAGGGCAACCAAGTACCAATAGGTCACACAAATGCTATCTGTGATAGCAGCAAGAAGAGGACTGCAAGTGTCAGTTTGCTGCTGCTGGACTGGTTATAATTACTATCTCTTGTGTCTCCCATGATAGTCTAGAAATAAATTGTGGCCAGGCCCCCTGTGTATAGTGTCCTGTGCAGCAGGATGGAAACTCTCTGGTCAATTAATTTTTAAGAGTTTTTTTACCCTTTTGTTGTTTTGTCAGGGTTTTTTTTGTGAAATGAAATATGACACAGAATAAAACAATCTATGCAGAAGTGCTCCTGTTATTTATTTTAATTTCAGCTTCAATGTGTTTCATGCTGTCTCCACATTTGCAGTGTGCTGTGTTGAGGAGGGGGTTCTGGGGGGGATGCTTTTCTATCAGCTGGAGGTTGGTGCAGAGACTCGTCGGAAGCTGTGGACTCCCTCAGACTGAAAGACACTGTTCCAAACCAGCCAGCCCTATCAGAGTTAACATTAGTTTGTCATCATTAGGTTTTCAACTGTCTGAGCTGAATGGAGTAGTTCATACCTGTGATCTATTGTTTCAGGCTGTGCCTAGACTCATGGAGAGAGATGCGATTTTATTCTCATGTTTTTCAAGATATTCTTCATACCTGCAGAGATATGTGCATGAAATATCAATTGAAAGCGGTAACTCCCGGAGCTTCACAGAGCCTTTGGATACAAGTTTCTGGGCCTATTTTAGTCGATTTCACTGTAGGGCCACCTGTGTGTGTTGGATTGAGGTCATTTTCTTCTGCTTTTCATTGCCAACATATATGTGTTTACTTTTGTATCCTAAAGCATATGTGCTCTATTTCTTGGGGAAGAGAAAGGCCACACTACATTTTCAGATCGTTGTGGTATGCCTCAAGCACAGCTGCTAGTGCACGTACAGTATTTGGGTGAAATTACAATCTACCAGAGCATCTCGAATGAGATGAAAATTGGCTGGTAAAAACTGAAGGCCAACTGCTGCCTCTAGAGAATAAAGACAGGTGGAACTAACGCCATCCAAAAGATATGGTAAATGAGCTTGATCTACTGTGCTCATGGATTTCCACTCTCTGAACATGCAGAGGGCCCTCCAGAATTTGAGACCAGCCATCCAGACGTCTGTCTTGATGCTTCAAGATGCTCTGGATTGGGAGGAATTCAGTCTTCTAAATTTTCTCTTATCTCTCTTCCAAATCCCTCCTACTGCTTACCACTCTCCTCCTCAGTGCACTGGATGCAGGGTGCATGGAGGTGTGCTGTTCTTTATATCTCTTTTCCTGCCTGCTTAAATTATCCAGTTCAGAATTTCAAGGGAAGCGGTCTCTGTCCAATGCCAGGTGGCCGAGAGGAATTACTATAGCTTCCAGTCTTTGTTATCTCCAATATGTGATCTGATGTCCACACCAGAAGTGATCGGATCAACTGCCTGGCTTGCTGCATCAGCTGGCAAGAGCAAGCTGGGTCCAGCACAAGGTGTCAACAGAGAATGTAATCCAAGATGACAGGCAAAGAGCTAATTATTTTAAGCAATATTGTTCCTACTTGCCTAGATCCAGCTCTACTTGCAAATGTCTTTGTGGCATGACAGTACCTGGGGAAGGTGTCCCACTGGCACTGTACAGCAGCCAAAATGCCAGATGCACTCACAAAACCCATTACTGTGCTTGGCTGGGGAATGCTCGTCAAGGTCAGGCTGACTACACCCTGTGACAGCCACCCTGAGGGTCTCCTTGGACCCTCTTCCTTGAACCTTGCCTGGGAAGAGCTGCTCCAAGAGGTGCCTATGGCTACCGATCTGCCACTTCCCTGGAAAAGGAGGCTGAAACTCTCCAGCTGTCTCAGGACTTGAATGGTGTCTTGGCTGTGCCCCAGCATTTACTTCCTAATGACATGCAAGGCAGTGAATAACGTCACGTCCCCGCTGTGCTGTGTGGATGATTGAGCAGGCCTGTCTGAGCCGGGATGGAGCAGATACCTCTGTGCCGGAGTAGTAGGTTGGACTGGGGGTGGCTGAAGGCTCCCCGTACTGAGTTTAGTGACCTCTGCCACTCTCTCTCTGGCCCAGGTGATGCTCACCCTGCTGAGTGACACCCCTCTGTGCTCAGCTGGGCCACAGCCGGTGCCACAGCTGAGCCAAGAACCCACCTCTTGAGGGCTGTTAATTCCCCTATGTTAACCCTTGCAGCTACTAAGTCATACATCAAGCTGCATCTTCTAACACCGCGCAGTTTGAGGGAGAAGAAATCCGCTCCTCCCCGAGAGCAGCACCGGTCCTGTGAGTCCTGCAGGCAAAGATGTACTCTGAGAGCATCTCCCTTCCAGCTCCCTCTGCTCACAGCGTGCTGAACCCCTCTCCTCCTACACAGATGCCAAACCAGCACCCTCACCTGTGCCACCGGTCCACCTTGTGCAGCCGAGCAGCTGGATGTGGTCCTGACAGGCAGGAGCAGAGCCGTGCTGGCTGAGTCACCTCCCATCCGGAGGTCTTCCCCTCGGCAGCGGTGCCGGCAAGCCCAGCCTGAGCATCCTTTCACGTGTCGCTGTGCTGCATCCATCTGGGTTCCCTGTGGGGGGCTGCTACAGCCCCGACCCCCTGCGAATGCCCTGCTGGTAAGACGGCCTGTCGCAGAATGCTGCAGTCGGCTCACAGGTCTGGATTTCATCTGACTGTAATCAGGACATATAACCCAATTTCCAATAACGGGAGAGCTTCAGACACATTAGAGAAACAAGCGCCTGCGGTATTTCAGTCTAACGAAGGCAATAAATACAGGAAAGATTATATAAAATGAACTAATGTGTGAAATAATCTAATAGCTATACGTAATTTCCATTCATATACAGTAGTAATAGAATGAAAGCAAATGTGGACAGCCAGCAGGGCATTTAAATAAAATAATTTAGAATGCAGTAGGTTAATAATAATAATAATAATAAAAAAGTATCCATGCCTATAAATTAGTTGGAAATGTCAAAGAAGCTAATAAAGTATCAAAATGGTAATTTTGTAATTGACATAAAAAGGAGAGAAATGGTTTTCTGCATGCCTGCAAATTAAGATAGATTGCTGAAATTTCACATTTGACATATTTGCTTTTTGAGATGTTAATGAAATGTTGGGACAAAGGGCCTTTCTCTATGCAGCATAGGTCAGCAATTTTTTAAACTAGATATGCTTTTTTTTTTTTTCCAAAAAATTAAGTTTTGGAGTTAAAACTGGCCAATATTTTTACTGAAAAAAATCTGGAGAGAGCATTAGAAGGCAGAGGCAAGTTCTGACATTTGCCAAAGTAGCTCACTTTAGTATACTTGAAACAAAATATTTTTTTTGATATTTCTGACATGTATTTCTGACTTGTCTTATTCTAAAGGCACCACTCAAAAAATTGACCTACTTTTTTTTTAAAAAAAGAGGAAAATTATGATTTTTTCTGTAGCAAAGGGAAAGGGCACAAGGAGATAATTGGAAGACAAAACAACACACATTATTACAAGGTGAATGAAAGATTTCAGACTGATACAAAGCAAAAGTCTCACTGAAAAATCTGCAAAAAAAGATCTGCTGTATTTCTGCAGTAGTAGATGCTTGGCCATGAAAATGAAAAATGAATTATTTCCCACATTGTACTCTGCGGCACATTAAATCTAAATTAGACAAGGATCCCAGATATGCAGAACGCATAAGCATGTGCTTAACTTTGCGCTCATGAGTGGCGACATTAAAGTCAATGGGCTATTATTCACATGATTGAAGTTAAATGCTTTTCTGAGCTTGCAGCTTTTATACAACAAATACCTCCTCCAGAGAAGTCTAGGAAAAACAAAGAGCAGGTATATCTGTCAACGAGAAATTTTCCAAGGGGACCAAAAGTGGGGGTCAGTCTGGTACCTTAAAAGGCCTGTAAGGGGAAGATTGTCTAACAGGCTGGCTTGAAGGCAGTGCAAATCTTCCACAGGATTGCACATTTACTATGAACAAACGTGTGATACTTTCACACATTTCTGCACGATGCAAAGGAGGTTTTACATGGTGGTGTCCAAAAAGCAGAAAATATGCACTCCTTTCAATGGCAGTGTGATTTTTATTGCCAAGAGACCTTTGTGAAGATATGAGTTAACTAGACAGAAGAAAGACCGTGCCACTTCCAAATCTGTCCTCTTGTGATAGATCAAGCCTTTTTAAAAAAAT